TCAGTTTGAGTAATTTGTATTTCTCTAGAAATTCATCCATTTCTGCTAGGTTCTCTTTCCTTAGTGAGTATAGAGTCTGAAATAGTTATTTATAATTGTTTGGATGTCTTGGATGTTTGTTCTAGTTTTTCCTGTGGTATCCCTGATCTTAATGATTTGGGTCTCTGTATAAAGACATTTTTTATCATTTTCATAGCTGTTTAGGAAACACTACAGAGAATAGTAATACACCTTTTTTTTTTTAATACTGTTTTATTCATCAAGCCAGGAAGTGCTCTTATGTATATTTAGGTTGGATGTTCAGTAATTTCAGTAGTATTTATCTTTTTACAACAAAGAAATTGGGTCTGTAGCTACACTACTTCCTCTAATTACAATGGATGAGCCTTCAGTTTAGTAGTATGTCTTCTTTTGGCAGTTATTCCAAGAAAGTAGTATATATTTTGAACATACTAAACAGCTACGAATCTGCCTTCCATCCATAGTTTTATCACTGTTAGAAACTGAATCATTTTGAGAAATTGAAACATAATATGGTTTGAGTTCATGTGTTGGTTCTCAATGTGGCATTGTTGGGAAGTGGTAAAACTTCAAGTAATAGAGACTAGTATATAATTGCAGAGTGATAACATTTTTAAACTTTAGAAGAGGAAAATGATACTAAATTCCAGTAAAACTTTATTTTAATGAAGTATCCAATTTAGAATGAGTTATTTGAAAAAATGAACACCAGTTTTTTTTTAGAATGGAATCTTTTCCAGCTTTTTTTTTTCTTTTTGCTTATGTGGTGCTGAGGAAGTAAACCAAGGACCTCATGCATGCCAAGGCAAGTACTCTACCACTGAGCCACCTTCCCAGCCCTGAAAAAATGAACACCAGTTTTAAAAATTGTTCATTCTTGTTTTTTTTTCTTTTCCTTTCTTTCTTTTCTTTTCTTTTTTGTTTTTTTTTTTGTCAGTCATGGGGCCTGAATTCTGGGCCTGGGCACTGTCCTTCAGCTCCAAGCTAGTGCTCTACCACTTGAGCCACAGCACCCCTTCCGGCTTTTTCTGCTTATATAGTGCTGAGGAATCGAACCCAAGGCCTTATGCATGCAAGGCAAGCACTACCACTGAGCCAACTTCCCAGCCCTTGTTTTCTTTTTATCTTCTTTCTCTTTCCCTCCCTCCCTCCCTCCCTCCCTCCCCCCCTCTCTCTTTCTTTCTTTCTTTCTTTCTTCCTTTCTTTCTGTTGTTGCTGGTACTGGGACTTGAACTCAAGGCTTGGGCACTGTACATTAGCTTTTTTTTTGGCCAGTCGTAGGGCCTGAACTCTGGGCCTGGGCGCTGTCCCTCAGCTCTTCAGCTGAAGACTAGCACTCTACCACTTGAGCTACCGCGCCACTTCTGACTTTTTCTGCTTATGTGGTTCTGAGGAATCGAACCCAGGGCCTCATGCATGCAAGGCAAGCACTCTACCACTGAGCCACCTTCCCAACCCCTACATTAGCTTTTTTGTTCAGAGCTGTCACTCTACCACTTGAGCCACAGCTCTGCAGATAATGGCTTCAAACTGTGATCTTCTATTATCAGCCTCCTGAGTAGGTAGGATTACAGTTCATTCTTTTATGAACTCATTATTAGGAACTATACTTTTTAAAAAGTTTGAAACTTGTTGGCCAAATTACAAAATATGAATATAGGAACTGTTTTTGAACAATTAATTGGTATTGAACAGATAAATATGGAAATTTTGAAGCTGTTTTCTTGGTTGTTATAGGAGAAAATAATCTATACATCTTTTTTTTTTTTTTTTTTTTTTTTGTCGGTCATGGGGCTTGAACTCTGGGCCTGGGCGCTGTCCCTCAGCTCTTCAGCTCAAGGCGAGCACTCTACCACTTGAGCTACAGCGCCACTTCCGGTTTTCTGGTGGTTTATTGGAGATAGGAGTCTCTTGGTCTCTCCTGCCTGGGCTGGCTTTGAACCGCGATCCTCAGATCTCAGCCTCCTGAGTAGCTAGAATTACAGGCGTGAGCCACCAGCACCCGGCAAGCAAGGGAAATTTTGTAGAAAAAAGTAAAGAGGAATTCTGAAGTGAGATAGGTGGTGAACAAATAGCAATTTAGATGGAATAATTAAGAAATTGAGCCTTTCTACTCAATGTGTTTATAGAAAGTTGCTATAGGTATTGAGGTTTAGAACTTGGGTATATTAAGGAACAAAATATGTTTTTAAAAAAGAAACTGTAAGGGGCTGGGAAGGGGGCTCAGTGGTAGAGTGCTTGCCTTGTATGCATGAGGCCCTGGGTTCAATTCCTCAGCACCACATAAGCAAAAAGAAAAAAGCCGGAAGTGGCGTTGTGGCTCAAGTGGTAGAACGCTAGCCTTGAGCTGAAGAGCTGAGGGACAGTGTCCAGGCCCAGAGTTCAAGCCCCACAACCAGACCCCCCCCCCAAAAAAAAAAAAAAAAAAGAAAAAAAGACAAAAAAGAAACTGTAAGCCTGGTGCTGGTGGCTCATGTCTATAATCCTAGCTCCTCAGGAGGCTGAGATCTGAGGATCACGGTTCAAAGCCAGCTCAGGCAGCAAAGTGTGGGACTCTTATCTCCAATAAACCACCAGAACACTGGGAATGATGCTAGGCCTCAACTGGTAGAGCATTCACCTTGAGCTGAAGAGCTCGGAGACAGCGCCCAGCCCAGAGTTCAAGCACCACAACCGACCAAAAAAAAAAAAAAAAAATTAAAAAACAAAAGAACAAAAAGACAAACTGAGCAGGGCTTCAGTTGTAATCCTAGCTATGCAGGAGATTGAGACCTAGAGGATAGAGATTCAGAGCCAGCCAAGGCAGAAAAGTCTGTAGTACCACTTCCGTTTTTCTGGTGGTTGACTGGAGATCAGAATTTCATGGATGTTCTTGCTTTGAACAACGATCCTCAGATCTCAGCCTCCTGAGTAGCTACGATTACAGGCGTGAGCCACCAGCACCTGGCTGAGTCTTTTGATTTTTAAGACTAGGCTCATGTCCGGCCATGATTCTCCAGATTTTAGCCTCCTGAGTGGCTAGGATGACAGATGTGAGGTACTGATATTGAGCTTCAAATTTTTTCTTTCCGTGTGTGTGTGTGTGTGTGTGTGTGTGTGTGTGTGTGTGTGTGTGTGTGTAGAGGCGGGGGGGGGGGGGGGAGTACTGATATTGAGCTTCAAATATTTTCTTTGTGTGTGTGTGTGTGTGTGTGTGTGTGTGTGTGTGTGTGTAGAGGCGGGGGGGGGGGGGGAGGGGAGGGAGATGAGGTGCAATACCAAAGCTTGAACTCAGTGCTTTGTGCTCTCACTTGGCTTCTGCACATGGATGGTGCTCTACTAATTGAGCCACAACTGTAGTCCAGCATTTTACTGGTTAATCAGAGATTAACCAACTCAAGTGCTTGCCTTCAGCTGAAGACACCAGGGATAGTATTCAGTCTCAGAATTCAAGCCCCACAACCAACCAAAGGAAAAGGAAAGAAGGAAGGAGAGAGGGAGGGAGGGAGGGAAGGAAGGAAAAAGAAATAAATAAATCACAAGACTTAATTCTAAAGGAACTAGCAAAAGCCAAGCTGGAAGTAAGTAGAAAAATGTCAGCCAAACAAGCAAGCCAACTGAGCCACTGCAAAGTCCTAGGATCAAACTGTGACTCAAAACAAACAACAACGGGGCTGGGAAGGTGGCTCAGTGGTAAGGTGCTTGCTTGCATGCACGAGGCCCTGGGATTGATTCCTCAGCACCACATAAGCAGAAAAGGCCAGCAGTGGTGCTGTGGCTCAAGTGGTAGAGTGCTAGCCCTGAGCTGAAGAGCTGAGGGACAGCGCCCAGGCCCAGAGTTCAGCCCCTACAACTGACCAAAAAAAACAAAACAAAACAAAAAACCTGATACTGGCCAAAGCAAAAAAAGAAACATTGATAGGTGGGGATAGCTCAGTGTAGAGTACTTGCCTAACAAACACAAGGCCCTGGGTTCAATCCTAGGTACTTGATAATAAACATGCCTTAGTTGAATATTGCCAATTATATACCAGTGACAAGTTACTTCATATCCCTTTATATTTTAAGAAAAGGGATAATGTGGAATGGGAATGAAAAAATCCCTCCATGGAACACCTGAGTTTTCCATCCTACTGCTACTTAATTCATAGTTTTGGGTTAGATGTCTTGAGTTTTCTTTATCTTTGGGGCTATTGAAAATAAAATGAGAACCATGTATGTTGACACATGTCTGTAGTTATAGCATTCAGGAGGCTTGAAGCCAACTGCATAGTTCCAGACCAGCCATGGATACTTAGTGAAACCTTGTATATAAATAAATAAATGTGGTTATGTTGAAGGTATAGCTTAGTGGTAGAGTAGAATAATATTTCTTTTGTTTATTTGTTTGTTGATCGTAAAGCCTGAACTCTGGGCCTGGGAACTGTCCCTCAGCTCTTCAGCTCAAGGCTAGCGCTCTACCACTTGAGCCACAGCGCCACTTCTGGCTTATTCTGCTTATGTGGTATTTCCTCATGCATGCAGAGCAAGCACTCTACCACTGAGCTACCTTCTCAGCCCTGAGTATAATAATACTTCTATAACTTTAGTAAGTATATGCATTTAATAAAAAGAATACCCCGCCCTTTTTTTTTTCATACTGGGTCAGGAACTGAGGACGCTGGGCACTGTCTCTGAGCTTTTGTGCTCAATGCCAGCACCCTACCAATTGAGCTACTGTTTCACTTAGGCTTTTTTGGTGGTTAATTGGAGGTGAGAGTCTCACAACTTTGCTGCCTGATCTGGCTCCAAACTCTTTAAGCTTCATATCTCAGTCTCCTGAGTACTTGTGAGTGCAGAAATAAGCCACTGGCATCTGGCAAAACTAAACCTTTTTAAAGAAGTGATACACATGCCATAAAGCCAACAGTGCAATGAAAAATGGACATAGTCATTTAGTTTTGTTTTAGTTTGAGGAAGTCTATGCCAATATTAATGTTGTATTTCTTTGTTTAATGAAGAGAAGAGAACTGATAACAATGGCAGAGTATATTTTGTCAACCACAACACTCGAATTACTCAATGGGAAGACCCCCGAAGTCAAGGGTAAGAATTTAAGAATTTTTTAGTATATATGTATCAATTACTCATTTCTCACTCATATATATGTACATTCATTCTTAAAGGCCTTAGTATGAATCACTTAACATGTACTGGAAACCAAAAATATTTATTCTCACAAAATTAGAAGCCTTAGAGTTTCTTGCAAGTAGAGAAAACTACTCACTTGTGTGTGAGAATACACTTACATTCAACATTCATACACTTGCATACATACACACATAGGTAAATACATAAATGCTTCTAAAAAATGCTAGATCTCACTTTGAGAACATCTTACACATGTATTTTAATTAGAATAAATTTCAGTATCTTGCTACTAAGCTTGCTACTATATATGAATATATAAATATATATGTATATTAGTATGTATGTATTTAGTGGTAACCAGATTAATAATTCTAGACTTTCTTAATCTTAGATCACTGATAGAATTCAATGCATGTTTTAATGGGTAAAAAGACACAATTTAGTTTAGCCTTTGCCTAATACTTATTGTTTCCTTCCTTTATAAGGTAAAACCTAACGTATTAGTAGTACCTAGCACTTTCTTTCCTGAAAAGCTTTACTATGCATTATCTGCGTCTTTAGGAAGGAAGAAAATTCTTACTTTCATGTAATGAAAAAGTAAACAATTTCTTGAGAGTAGTAGAAAACTTTCTGGTTTCTTTTATTTGCATCAGTAGAAAACATAGGCTTATAAAAATATTCTGTGGTTGTTAGAGATAATCTTAAAATATCATTTACACATCATTATTAACACTTGTTAGTAAGAATAAAAAACTTGCTAGTATATTTATGCATATGAACACAAGTTTTTTCTTAATTTTTTTTTCTTTTTTGTCGGTTGTGGAACTTGAACTCTGGGCCTGGGCACTGTCCCTCAGCTCTTCAGCTCAAGGCTAGCACTCTACCACTTCGGCCACAGCGCCACTTCCGGCCTTTTCTGTTGATGTGCTGAGGAATCGAACCCAGGGCCTCACGCATGCGAGGCAAGCACTCTACCACTGAGCCCTTTTTCTTAATGTTTTGATAGCTATATACAGTTACTCAGCATAGTAAGGTTATATCATAATCTCTGTGTATTAGTTTGTTAAGACCAGTTTAATAAAGTACACAACACAGGAAGTACTTTTTTGTGTGTCCTGGTCCTGGAACTTGAACTCAGGGCCTGGGCACTGTCCCTGACTTTTTTGCTTAAGGGTAGCTCTCTACCACTTGAGCCACAGTGCCATGTGCGCTTTTTAAGTATTTAGTTGGAAATGAGTCTCACAGATTTTCTTGCCCAGAATAACTTTGAACTGCAGTTCTCAGATCTCAGCCTCCTGAGTAGATAGGATCACAGACATGAGCCACTGGTGCCCAACTTACATTGGAGTACTTTAATTTTGAATTTTTTTATTTTTTTGTTGGTTGTGGGGCTTGAACTCTGGCTTTAGGCGCTCTTGCACTCTTCAGCTCAAGGCGAGCACTCTACCTCTTGAGCCACAGCGCCACTTCTGGTTTTCTAGTGGTTTATTGGAGATAAGAGTCTCACGGACTTTCCTGCCCTAGCTGGCTTTGAACTGCTATCCTCAGATCTCAGCCTCCTGAGTAGCTAGGATTACAGGCGTGAGCAACCGGCACCCAGCTTCAAGGAGTACTTTTAAACAGCAGTAATTATCTTGACAGTTCTGGATCCTAGAAGTCAGAGACCAAAGTGTTGACAGCACTGTTGTGTCACTGTAGAACTAGGTATGGCCCTGTTCCAGATCTCTCCCAACTTTTTATAGTTCTTGGGTTTTTGTCAGCATATTTCTGTCTTCATATGTCTTTCCTCTGTGTATATGACTGCCCAAATTTCCCCTTTTGTAAGAACACCATTTCTATAGAATTAGTGACTCATCTACCATACTCCTATATTATCTCCTCTTAACTAATGCATTTTTATGGTCCTGTTTCCAGACAAGGTCACATCCTGAGGTACTTAACATAAAGTCTTAACTATAAGAATTTGAGGGAGGACATGTTCAATATATACTAGTTTGTAGTAGTATACTTTTATGAAACTGCCAGTTCCATTCTGTCAGAAGTTTGACAAAAACATACAATCAGTTAAAACATTAACTACACTTTGGAGAGTCAACTCTCATTTCAGACCAGCTACTTACAATTTTTGCCACAACCACTCTCAGATATAATAATTCAGTAACAAGATGAATGTGGTAGTAGGTCATGGAATAAGTCTTAGCACTCAGCAGACGGAAGCAGATGGTTGGCAAGTTGGGTCATCTACTAATAAGAACCTATCTCAAAAAACAAAATGTTTCTGGCTACCAGCAAATGCCAGTGTGGTTTTTTTTTGTGAAGTTATTGTATATAATTTAAATGTATTTAGTTTCATAAAAGAATTAAGCATCAAAAGATACAAATTTTTTTCCTTTTTCTTTTTCTTTTTTTTGGGGGGGGGGGGGGTCCAGTCAAGGGGCCTGAACTCTGGGCCTGGGTGCTGTCCCTCAGCTCTTCAGCTCAAGGCTAGTGCTCTACCACTTGAGCCACAGCGCCCTTCCGGCTTTTTTCTTTTTGCTTATGTGGTGCTGAGGAATCGAACCCAGGGCCTCAAGCATGCAAGGCAAGCACTGTACCACTGAGCTACCTTCCCAGCTCTAAAAGATAAAAATTTTTTAAATTTCTTTCTAAAATTCTGTATCTGGGGCTAGAGATAAGGTTTGGCTCAGTGGTATAGTACCTATGTAGTACATTTGAAGACTTGGGTGTGATTGTAGTACTGAAAAATAAAAAATAAAATTTCTAAAGATAGAATGAACAAGTTTTCCCCTTTGCAATTTGCCACCATTATTCCCTTAGACCTTTATACATACCTGTAGAGTTAAAAATAAAATCATATTTTAATAAAGAGCATAAATTACCTACGTTTATCTCAAATGACATAGTACTGATCCTGTCTTACATTATAATTACAACAAAAGAAAGTTCTCTTTTTTTACATTTTTGGTATTCTTATCTGGCACTTGTACTCAATTGTATGTACATAAATGAATATTATGAATATTATTAACCTTTATTTGTACTTCACAAAATATGATTCAAGACAAAGTTGTTTTTCTTTTTATTGGCACAAAGGGGCCTCATTTTGACATATCTACTTACATGTATAATGACTCTTGATCAGATTCATCCCCATTCCTTCTTTTTGTGTGTGATACTGGGATTTATGCAGCATAAGACATGGCATATATTAGGCAAGTGCTCTATCATTGAGCTACATTTCCAGCCCTAATGGTTTTTCTTGGTTTCCCTGAATTACACAAGAAAAATGACAATCCAGCAAAAGTAGATCCCTACAACAAGTTGTTATGTCGAAAAAACGAACTTTACAACTTTGGGTGGGGGGGGTGGGAGGGGATTGATGATGGGAAGAGGAAACAAAGGAGGAGGCAACAATGCTTGATAAGAAATGTACTCATGGGATATTATGCAGCCATTAGAAATGACAAAATAATGGCATTTGCAGGGAAATGGATGAAGCTAGAAGGAATCATGTTGAGCGAGGTAAGCCAAGAGCAAAGAGACAAACGGTACATGGTCTCCCTAAATCCAAAATGTTAGGTGATAGGACAAAATTAACAGGATTTAAGAAACAAAGAACTCCCACTCATCTGGTCGAACCACTACTAAATATTCCCATGCTGCTGATCACATGTATGGTGTATATGTGTACACTGTTATGTGTTATAGACTGTGATAGACAATTTGCTCCAGGAAAGTTAGAATGAACTTGTGACTTTAAATGAGCATCATTATTCCACAATACTGTGAAATTTGGGAAATTATGTAATCACTTAATCACAATTTAAAAAAAAATAAAAGGAGAACCTCAGAGAAGGTAGGGAGGGAAGGGATGGTAGGGGGAAAACAATGGAGGGGGTAGCAATGCTCGATGAGAAGTGTACTCATTACCTTGCTCATGTAACTGTGACCCTCTGAATAGTATCTTTACAATAAAAATTTAAAAAAAAAAAAAGAAAGAAATGTACTCATGGGGCTAGGAAGTTGGCTCAGCCCTCTACCGAGTACTTGCCTTGCATGCATGAGGCCCTGGGTTCAATTCCTCAGCACCACATAAGCAAAAAGAAAAAAGCCAGAAGTGGCACTGTGGCTCAAGTGGTAGAGCGCTAGCCTTGAGCTGAAGAGCTGAGGGACAGCGCCCAGGCCCAGAGTTCAGGCCCCAGACCGGACCCAAAAAAAAAGAAATGTACTCATTACCTTGCCCATGTAATTGTAATCCCTCTCTGTGTGGTATTTTCACAATAAAATAAATAAATAGTGAACCTGAATTCCTCCAATTCTATATTTCCCGTTCTGATGTAAACCTGAACATTATTGTTCTCATAATCACATGAGAAAATTGAAGCTATAAAAATAGGAAAAAAAGATCTGAGATCCAGTAGCTCACACCTGTAATCTGATCGTGATTTGAAGCTAGCCCAGGCAAGAAAGCCCATGAGACTCTTAACCTCCAGTTTAACTACTAAAAAACGGAAGTGGTACTGTGGCTCAAAGTGTTAGTGCTAGCGAAAAAGCTCAGAGACAGCACCCAGGCTGAGTTCAAGCCCCATGACTGACAAAGAAAAGAAAGAAAGAGAGAAAGAAAGAAAGAGAGAGAGAGGGAGGGAGGGAAAAAAGCATGCTGCCATATACAAAATTGCCATATTTATTATACCTAGTAAACTAAAAAAGACTTAATTCCACTATGTTACAATACACAGACCACAAGGTAATTACCAGCAGTTTTCTACCTATTCTAGAATAGTGTTTTGAAATGTAAAATTCTTTTTTTTTTTTATTTTTGGGTCCGGTCGTGGGGCCTGAACTCTGGGCCTGGGCGCTGTCCCTCCCTCATCTTTCAGCTCAAGGCTAGTGCTCTACCACTTGAGCCACACCGCCACTTCTGGCTTTTTTTTCTTTTTGCTTATGTGGTACTGGGGAATCGAACCCAGGACCTCATGCATGCAAGGCAAGCGCTCTACTACTGAGCCACCTTCCCAGCCCCGTAAAATTCTCATTTTCACTAGTAAGCATTTAGTGTTTGTGCTAGTACCTAAGTTATTTTACTGTATATCAGATTAAATTATTTATGTAAGTCTAAAGTTCATGCATTATTTGCATGGTCTAAAGCTCATGTGTTTGTAAGGTGGAAAGTTGTATCCAGCATACAACTTGGAAGATGATAAATATGGTGTTAGCAGTATGTAGAATGTATACTTGACAGACTTATAGAGAATGATCAGTCTATAGTAGCAGGAGTACTAGTAATATAATTTGAGAGCTCTAAAAATTTTTTTGTTAGAATTACAGACATGAACCACAGGTACCCAGCTTGACAGCTTCTTACTGTTTTGTTTTTTGGGTTTTTTTGGTTTTTTTTTGGTCAGTCATGGGGCCTGAACTCTGGGTCTGGGCGCTGTCCCTCAGCTCTTTAGCTCAAGGATAGCACTCTACCACTTGAGCCACAGCACCACTTCCGGCTTTTTCTGCTTATGTGGTGCTGAGGAATTGAACCAGAGCCTCATGTATGCAAGGCAAGCACTCACCCCCTGACCCACCTTCCCAGCCCACTAGTATTTTTTTTTTAATTGTCTTGTGTTCTACATAGTCTTATTACATAGGAATAGAATTTTCCATTTTGTGAACAAAGAAACCAAACAGCATGACAAAGTTTTAAAGATATAAAAATAGGTATTAAAAAGCTGAAGAGGCCAGGCCTAGAGGCTTATGCCTATAATCCCAAGGATAGTGGAGGTTGAAAGTAAGGTATTCACACTAGCTACTCAAGGCTGATAACTGAGGTTTGTTGCTCAAAACCAACCAGAGCTGGAATATCCATGAAACTTGTATCTCCAGTAAACCTCCCCCCACCCAAAAAAAAAGATCGAATTGAAGCTGTGGCTCATGTTATAGGGCTAGCCTTGAGTGAAAAAACTTAGAGACAGTACCTAGGCCCTGAGTTCCAGCCCTAGTACTTGGACAAAAGAAAAAGAATGGAAAACAATATATTGTTTATAAACACTTCTTAATCCTGTGTAGGATTTTTTTTTTTTCTATACTGAGATTTAAAGTCATGTCCTGATGCTTTTTAATTAGGCACTGTAACATTTGAGCAATACCTCTGGCAAATATGAAGACTTCTAAGACATTGGACAGAACTTAGTTTACATAGATTATTAGATGAATAGGAAAACGTAAGCCAAGAAGATGGTAGAATTCCTAGTGATAATTTGTTTTTAATACTGCTGAAAAGTTTAATGTATATCTAGAGATGCTAGTACAGAACTGAAAATAATGGACTAAATGTATTTCCAAAGGAATTTGTGTTATACTTAAGGATATTTTTAGTTTCTATACTTGGCCAGTAAATAAATGTTTCTTATGTGCTAACATTTTTTTTCCTCTGTATTTCATAGTCAATTAAATGAAAAGCCCCTACCTGAAGGCTGGGAAATGAGATTCACAGTGGATGGGATTCCATATTTTGTGGACCACAATAGAAGAACAACAACCTACATAGATCCCCGAACAGGAAAATCTGCCTTGTAAGTTTTCTTTTTTTCTTTTTTCTTTTTTTTTTTCAGTCCTGGGGCTTGAACTCAGGATCTGGGCTCTGTCCCTGAGCTTCTTTTGCTCAAGGCTCGTGCTCTACCCCTTGAACCACAGACCCACTTCTGGCCTTTTCTGTTTATGTAACAATGAAGAATCGGGCTTCATGCATGCTAGGCAAGAATTCTAACACTAAGCCATGTTTTCAGCCTGCTTTGTAATTTTTTAAACACTACAGATTAAAAGTAAAACTAATTCCTCAGATCTGACTTGAAGACTTGAATTAGAGAGGAATAGAAGTCTTATTTTGTCTTGAGTTTTCTTTTTGTTACTATTATATTTTATACATTGATTTACTTAATGAAGAGGTAATTTCTGAGAAATGCATTATTGTGTGAATATCAGAGTATTTACCAAACCTAAATGACGTGGCCTACACATATAGACTATATGGTTTGCACTCCTAGCCTAGATGATACAGTCTAAGATTATAGTAAACAAAACATAAAATTAAATCAAGCTCCAAAGACACTTATGCAAACCAGTGACATAGTAGACATAAGAGAAATGAGGTTGCTGCTATACTACTTTGCAATAAACTCTTAGTTTTTTTATAAGTGGGAGTACATCTTTTCTTTCCTTCCTTCCTTCCTTCCTTCCTTCCTTCTTTCCTTCCTTCCTTCCTTCCTTCCTTTCCTTCTTTCTTTTTCTTTCTTTCTTTCTTTTTGCTGGTCGTGGAGCTTGAACTCTGGGCCTGGGCACTGTTCCTCAGCTATTCAGCTCAAGGCTAGTGTTCTACCACTTGAGCCACAGTGCCACTTCTGCCTTTTTCTGCTTATGTGGTGCTGAGGAATGGAACCCAGGACCTCATGCATGCAAGGCAAGCACTCTACCATTGAGCCACCTTCCCAGCCCTGTGGGAGTACATTTTAAGTTAATGATTAAAGGCCATGTGTCAGTGGCCCCCACACCTATAATCCTAGCTGCTTAGGAGGCTGAGATCTGAGAATCTTGGTTCAAAACAGCTGTGGCAGGAAAGTCCATTAGACTTTTATCTTCAAATAACCATCTAAAAGCTAAACTTAGAGCTGTAGATTAAGTGATATAGTGCTATCCTTGGGCAAAAAATTTCAATGACAGTGCCCAGGTCCCAGGACTGGCACACACACACAAAAATTAAAATAACGTTTAGGGCTGGGAAGGTGGCTCAGTGGTAGAGTGCTTGCCTTGCATGCATGAGGCCCTGGGTTCGATTCCTCAGCACCGCATACACAGAAAAATCTGGAAGTGGTGCTGTGGGCTCAGTTGGTGGAGCACTAGCCTTGAGCTGAAGAGCGCAGGAACAGTAACCAGGCCCAGAGTTCAGGTTCCATGACTGACCAAAAAATTAAAAAATAGAATAAAATAATGTTTAAAAGCATTTTGTAGGGGCTGGGAAGGTGGCTCAGTGGTACAGTGCTTGCCTTGCATGCATGAGGCCCTAGGTTCAATTCCTCAGCACCACATAAGCAGGAAAAAAATGCTGGAAGTGGGTCTGGCTCTCAAGTGGTAGAGTACTAGCCTTGAGCTGAAGAGCTGAGCGCCCAGGCCCAGAGTTCAAACCCCATAACCGACCAAAAAAAAAAAAAAGCATTTTGTAAATACATAAACTAGTAATATAATCACTATCATTATCATGTATTATGCATTATTCATAATTGCATTGCTATGTTTTTCTGTGATTAGCATTGTAGTGGGTTTGTTTATACTAGCATAATTACAAACAGGTGAGTAATGTGTTATGCTGTGAGGCTAACAGAGCTATATCACTGGGAGTTAGGAATTCCTAGCTCCATTATAATCATATGGGATCATTCTTTTTTTTTTTTTTTTTTTTTTGGGTCCGGTCGTGGGGCCTGAACTCTGGACTTGGGCGCTGTCCCTCAGCTCTTCAGCTCAAGGCTAGCGCTATACCAATTGAGCCACAGCGCCACTTCCGGCTTTTTTGTTATATGGTGCTGAGGAATCGAACCCAGGGCCTCATGCATGTAAGGCAAGCGCTCTACCACTGAGCCACCTTCCCAGCCCCCCATATGGGATCATTCTTACTAGCTGCACATGAATTTGGCTATTAATCTCTTACTCAGTTTATGACTTAAAAATATCTTCTCCCCTTCTGAGGGTTAATTTTTACTCTGGGTAGTATCCTTTGATATACAAAAATTTTGAAATTTTGATAAAGTTCAGTCTGTCTATATTTTATGTGTTACCAAAAAACCATTGCCTAATGTAGTATCATGACACTTTTCTTCTGATAGGCTTATGATTTTAGCTCTTACATGTAGGTCTTTGGACCTCCCTTTGAGTAGTTTTTAGTACATGCTGTAAGATAAAGGATCCATTGTTATTCTTTGGCATGTGGATATCTAGTTTTCCCAGCACCATTTGTTGAAAAGATTGTCTTTTTTGGTAGGCCATAGGGCTTGAACTTGGGGCCTGGGTATGTCCCTGAGCTTTTTTGCTCCAGGCTAGCACTCTACCACTTTGAGCTACAGTACCACTTCCAATATTCTAGTGGTTAATGGGCAATAAGAGTCTCACAGATTTTCCTGCTGGGCTGGCTTTGAACCACAATCCTCAAATCTTAGCCTACTGAGTAGCTAAGATTATAGACATGAGCCACTGGCACCCAGCAAAAAGACTTGTCATTTCCTTGTTTCTTGGCCATGGAATCTTACATCACTACAATAATATAATTGATACAAGTTACATAATCAGGTACTTATTTAGCTCGGGCTTATTTGTCATTTGGTTTGTTTTTGTGCTACTAGAGATTGAATTTAGGACCTCAATGTTTGCTAGTAAAGCACTCTAGTACTTGAGTCAAACACCCAGTTCTTTTTGCTTCAGTTATTTTTCATATAGTCTGGTGCTTTTTTCTTGGACCAGCTTTAAACCATGATCCTTTGTTCTGTTTCCCATGTATCTAGAATTATAGACATAAGCCATTGCACCTGGCTCCTAGCTCAGTTTTGATGACTCAAAAGTCCAAATAGCATAGCTCAGGCTTAACAAAGATCATTGTATCATCTAATGATGTATAGTAGCACATCGTGGCAAGAGTGTATGAAAGAGGAAACAGTCATATATTGAACAAAACTAGAAAGGAAGTACAACCTGAGCCCTGTGGCCTAAGACATCATAGAAGGCCCAACTTCTTAATGTTTTTCAGCCTAACCCAATTTTCAGCTCAACCCAATCACTTTGAGGTTTTTTTTTAATTTATTTTTTGGTTGGTCATGGGCCCTGAACTCTGAGCCTGGGTGCTGTCCCTCACTCTTCAGCTCAAGGCTAGCTCTCTACCACTTGAGCCACAGTGCCACTTCTCGCTTTTTTTTTTCCTGCTTATGTGGTGCTGAGGAATCGAACCCAGGACCTCATGCATGCAAGGCAAAGCACTCTTCCACTGAGCCACCTTCCCAGCCCCACTTTGAGGTTATTGAGTGTTCAAACTGGTCTGGTTTGCATGCAGATAGAAAGCAGAACTGTATTCCAAAATAACTGGTAAAAAAAGGAGTGGAATGGCGGGGCGGGGAGGGCAGGGTGGGAGGGGGGAGGGGGAGGGAGGAGGAGGAGAGGAGATGAGGAGGAGAGGAGGAGAGGAGAGGCCAGGCACTGGTGGCTCACATTGTAATTCTAGCTACTATGGAGGCTGAGATCTGAGGATTGAGGTTTGAAGCTTGAAGCCAGCCCAGCAGGAAAGTCTGTGCTGGGCTTTTTTTTTTAAGTTGCTAAGTACTGAAATAAGCAAGAGTATTTGCTTTTCTTTATTCCTGTCTTTTATGAGCAATTATACATGTCGCATTAACTATGTTCTTCTTCAGAGACAATGGACCCCAGATAGCCTATGTTCGAGACTTCAAAGCAAAGGTTCAGTACTTCCGGTTTTGGTGTCAGGTTAGTATTGGAACGGAATCTTTTCTTTTGTTATGCTAATTAGTTAATTCAGAAAAACAGGTAAAAATGGAAAACATTGGAATCTCTCAATTTTTTTTTTTTTTTTCCGGTCGTGGTGCTTGAACTCTGGGCCTGGGTGCTGTCCCTCAGCTGTTCAGCTCAAGGCAAGCGCTCTACCGCTTGAGCCACAGCACCACTTCCAGTTTTCTAGTGGTTTATTGGAGATAAGAGTCTCACGGACTTTGCTGCCTGGGCTGGCTTTGAATCGCAATCCTCAGATCTCAGCCTCCTGAGTAGCTAGGATTACAGGCATGAGCAACCAGCACCCGACTCTCACAGATTTTTTGAACAAAGTAATATATTTATCAGTTGGATAATTGTGTCTTATGTTGTCGGAGATGAAGCATGGGAAAACATTTGAAAGAAAAGGGACTGAGAGGAGAGGGGCAGAATGCAAAGAAAAATGATAAAGGAATGCAATTATAATAGTACTCTGTACATATATGATAATGGAATTAGTAAACGAGTTAACAGTGGGTATGAGATAGATGGGAGAAGGTGGAAGAATGATGGAAGGCATCACTTTATGAATGGAAATGTTAAAGTGAAACTCTTTTGTATAACAATTTGAAGGTAATTTTTTAAAATTAATTATGTTTTTGTCATTTTTGCTCACTAAATAGCTAGGCCTTCCTTTTGGTATTTTTGGTAGACCATTTTAATGGTGAGAATTGGCTTAAATCTCTTCTTACATTTCAGCAACTGGCCATGCCACAGCACATAAAGATTACAGTGACAAGAAAAACATTGTTTGAAGATTCCTTTCAGCAGGTACTGTCTGATCATGTCTAGTCTCATTGCCAGCTACCTTAGTACCTAACATTCAATGTGTATATATATATATATATATATATATATATATATATATATATATATATATATACGTGCTTGTGTGTTTTGTACTTTTTAAGAGTAACATAGTTGATTGGTGAGTTTCAAATTTCCTTTTCTAAGATGCTAGGGTTGTTTTTTGTTGTTGTTGTTGTTGTTTTTCGGTTTGGGGCTTGAACTCTGGGCTTGGGCGCTGTCTCTGTGCTCTTCAGCTTAAGGCAAGTGCTCTACCGCTTTAGCCACAGTGCCACTTCTGGTTTGTTAGTGGTTTATTTGAGATAAGAGTCTCACAGCAGCCGGGCACCAGTGGCTCACGCCTGTAATCCTAGCTACTCAGGAGGGTAAGATCTGAGGATCGCGGTTCAAAGCCAAAGCCAGCCCGGGCAGGAAACTTCGTGATACTCTGATCTCCAATAAACTGCTAGAAAACTGGAAAGGGTGCTGTGGCTCAAGGTGTAGAGCGCTCACCTTGAGATGAAGAGCACAAGGACAGTGCCCAAGCCCAGAGTTCAAGCCTCACAACCGACCAAAAAAAAAAAAGAGAGAGAGAGTCTCACAGACTTTCCTGTCCAGGCTGGCTTTGAATCACGATCCTCAGATCTCAGCCTCCTGAGTAGCTAGGATTACAGGTATTAGCCACGGGCTCCCAGCTGATGCTGAATTTTTATTTGAAATAGATATACAAGTAGACTATCAGTAGGCAAAGTTCTGGCAATACCTATATATGAGCATTATGGTATCAGTAGAAAAAAAGGAAAACAGCAGTTCTTACACTTTTGTATTTGAATTTTTACAATTTTTACAATAAGCATCTGTTACTATTACAGATAAAAATGTGTCTATGTGTGTCTATGTGCAAACACATGTACACATGTGGACAGTCCTGAGGCTTTAACTCAGGGCCTGGATGCTGTCCTTGAGCTTTATTGCTCAAGGCTAGTTAGCACTCTATCACTTTGAGCCACAATGCCCCATCTGGTTTTCTGGTGGTTATTTGAAGATAAGATTCTCACAAAGCCAGCCTGGGCTGGCTAGCCTAGCATGCATGAAGCCCTGGGTTCGATACCTCAGTGTCACATAAACAGAAAAAGCCAGAAGTGATGCTGTAGCATGAGAGGTAGAGTGCTACCCCCGCATGCATGAGGCCCTGGGTTTGATTCCTCAGCACCACATAAACAGAAAAAAAGCTGGAAGTGGCTCAAGTGGTAGAGCATTAGCCTTGAGCTGAAGAGCTCAGGGACAGCGCCCAGGCCCAGAGTTCAAGCCCCAGGACCAACTAACAACAACAACAAAAAAGAATGTATTGAACCCGAAGACACAATACTTCTGTGCCTTTAAACATATAAAATAATTTTTATTGAAATAAAAAAGTATGGGGCTGAGAAGGTGGCTCAGTGGTAGAGTGCTTGCCTTGCATACATGAGGCCCTGGGTTCCATTCCTCAGTACCACATAAGCAGAAAAAGTTGGAAGTGGTACTGTGACTGAAGTGGTAGAGCACTAGCCTTGAGCTGAAGAGCTGAGGGACACTACTTGGCCCAGAGTTCAAGCCCTACAACCGACAAAAAAAAAAAAAAAAAAGTATGTAAATATAAAAATGTATAAATACATAAAGTTTATGAAACTTTAATTCATTTTCTATGTGTAGTATTAATATTCTCATTAACATTCTGTCATGGGGAATTTAAGATTTTAAGTTAACTATATAATGCAAAAATGTGAAACTTGGAAATGGTAGAATGGTGTTTCAAAAATTGTTTTCGCCAATTCTTTTTATTGTTTTATAGATAATGAGCTTCAGTCCCCAAGATCTGCGAAGACGTTTGTGGGTGATTTTTCCAGGAGAAGAAGGTTTAGATTATGGAGGTGTAGCAAGGTAGTGATAATATGAGTACTCAGAACTTAGTTCCTTTCTTCCAAAGGTATCATTACACTTTGCTTGCAAGTAATATTTTCGCAATCTTATATTTCATGAAAATGAATAGTAGCAAATGATTGAGGCTTACTATGCTGGAGCTACAGAATTTCAACAAACAATTTAGCACCTTTTTTTTACTAAGGAAATGCTCATTGATTTCACCTACACTATTTGTCCTAAAAATAGCTCTGTAAAATAGAAATTTATAGGCAATGAAAAGATTTACAAATTCATGTAGGATACATAAGTTGTACGTGGATTCAAGATTTGCATTATATCAACCTACTGTTTGACATAGTATGTTAATCAGTAAACAGTCAATCACATCATATCTATTCCACAAAGCACCCAAGATCTTATAATGATTAGGGCTTCTCATAGTCCTGATAAAGATAATTGAGTCTCAGTTCCCAACTGAAATTAATAATCTTATCAGCAAAATATAGTAGCCTATATAAAAATCAAAGTCTTAATTCTTTTTCATTTTCGAGCTGTTAGTCAGACCTTAAATGGTAGCCTCAGCAAAGAATAGCTTTGCTTTTTCCATAACAGTATGTCACACCAGTTTAAAAATGTAGTAGCAGTGGTAGTGTTGGAAAGCAAATAGTATATGTGTGTATGTGTGTGTGTGTGTGCGCACGCATGTATACATGTACCCATACTTAGGATTGAACTCAAAGCCTTGCTTTCTTGCTTAGTTTTTTCACTCAAGGCTAGCTAGCATTCTTGGGCTACACTTTCACTTCTGGCTTTTTACTGATTAAATGGAGAGAAGAGTGTCTTGGACTTGGTCCTGGTTAGCTTTTGATCTGTGATGATCAGATCTCAGCCTCCTGAGTAGCTAGGATTATAGGCTTGATCAACCAGCACCCAACTCATAGGCAAATATCTTGATTTGTCAAATAAGATAGTATATACGGGACTGGGAAGGTGGCTCAGTGGTAGAGTGCTTGGCTTGCATGCATGCGGCCCTGGGTGCGATTCCTCAGCACCACATAAGCAAAAACAACCGGAAGTGGCGCTGTGGCTCAAGTGGTAGAACACTAGTCTTGAGCTGAAGAGTTCAGGGACAGCGCCCAGGCCCAGAGTTCAGCCCCCATGACCGACAAAAACAAAAACAAAAAAGATAGTAGTATATCCTTCTAGGATTATCATGAAGAGTAGAAATACTAATATGTTTATTAATGATCTAGTTTAGAATCTGAGTTTTTGTGTACTTACTGGTGACTACATTTTGGTAATTATTCTTTATATTTTGTTAGAAAATTCATTTACCTTTGAAAATGTATGATATAATCAAAGATAAATAGTAGATGTAAGGACTGGAGGCATGGCTCAGATTGTGGAATGCCAACTTGCTGAGCAAGCTTAGCCAGTGTACAAGGTCCTGAGATCAAGTTCTCATACTGACAAAAAATAAGTGAAATACAATAATAATAAATATGAGTAGAAGTTTTTTTTTTTTCCTTTTTTTTCTTTTTTTTGTGGGTCCTGGGGCCTGAACTCTGAACCTGGATGCTGTCCATCAGCTTTTCAGCCCAAGGCTAGCGCTCTACCACTTGAGCCACAGTGCCACTTCTGGCTTTTCTGTATTATGTGGTGCTGAGGAATGGAACCCAGGGCCTCATGCATGCAAGGCAAGTACTTTACCACTGAGCCACCTTCCCAGCCCAAGTAAAAGTATTTAGTTTTATATAAGTTCAACATAATTCAAGAGTAAGTAGTCATTCATTTCCTAATCAGCATACTAACTAGCAATATAAAAGTATAAGCAGAATTGTCAGCAGAGGTGATCAACTAACTAGAGAAAAGGTCTAAGACACTGACTGCTAAGTATTCCACCAGATCTATCCTACCAGACCCTACCATGCAACATAATGACCACACTTCATGTTAATATGCATGGATATCTTCAGAACATGTGAATTATTAGAGTGTGTGTGTGTGTGTGTGTGTTTTGTTGGTCTGCACTCTGGGCCTGGGCGCTGTTCCTGAGCTCTTCAGCTCAAGGCTAGCGCTTTACCACTTGAGCTACATTGCCACTTCCGGCTTTTTCTGCTTATGTGGTGCTGAGGAATCGAACCCAGGGCATCATGCATGCAAAGCAAGCACTGTACCACTGAGCCACCTTCCTAGCCCATTAGAGTTTCTTAAAACATTTTCTAATAATTGTGTGGCTGAACTTAAGTGCTTTATTAACTGAAATTTAAAGGTTTTCATGTTGACCTGAAATATAGGGAGTAATGTTATTTGTTGAGTATCACTTTGTACTCAGTAATAGATGGAATATTAGATTATTTCAACAACTCTAAGCCAATAGTAAATTTTAAATATGCCTTTTATACCAATTAAAAAATTTAGTATGTTCATATTTAATGTCTCTGAAATTGAAATATGTATTCATTGCAATTATAACTGGAAAAGTTTTAATAGGTAATCCAATAAGGATGCCTTTTTTAAGTAAGTGATGTCTTAGGTTCTTTGAAATATAATAGTGTATAAATAGTATTTGTAAAATAGATGTGAATTTGCACAGAGTATACAAATAAAGTAGAAAAACTCACCAGCTAAGATATGTAGATTCCCAAGAACTTGGTTGTACTGATCTTTGATTTGTTAGGATGGTTATTTATAAGATTTTTCATTCTAAGTTTTCTTTCAATTTCAGAGAATGGTTCTTTCTTTTGTCACATGAAGTGTTGAACCCCATGTATTGCCTGTTTGAATATGCAGGGAAGGATAATTACTGCTTGCAGATAAACCCTGCATCTTACATCAATCCTGATCATCTGAAATATTTTCGCTTTATTGGCAGGTTTATTGCCATGGTAAGTGCAGGTCAAGACTGTGCATTTATTCGGTTAATTCAGCAATACTAAGTTGTCTTACATGTGCCATAAAAGATTATATTATAGGAATTTTTATAAATGAAAAAATTAATGTTTTAAAATAAAGTGGCATTTGTATAATTGTGTTAATATTGTTCCCTTTCTGTGTAGGCTCTATTCCATGGAAAATTCATAGACACGGGTTTTTCCTTACCATTCTATAAACGTATCTTGAACAAACCAGTTGGACTTAAAGATTTAGAATCTATTGATCCAGAATTTTACAATTCTCTCATCTGGGTTAAGTAAGTTTCTGTCTGCATTAACTAAAGTGTGGTCTACATGCTTTTACCGTAGAATTAGTAACTTGTCAAAATTGTAGGCATATTACCAGTTTATTGAATTAAATAATCTAATCATCTAAATAAACTGTTGAATTGCTTAGTTACAGAAGTATACTCAAGATCTTACACAATAATGTGATATTAGAGCATACTGTTGCACTTTCTTACTTTGATGTTAATAGCTTATAGCTAATTAAGAGATGCTTTAAATTTAAACTTTTATAGTCGAATTAGAAAATAAATAATTCTTATTTCACTTATACAGAGAGAACAATATTGAAGAATGTGGCTTGGAAATGTACTTCTCTGTGGATAAAGAAATTTTAGGTGAAATTAAGAGCCATGATTTGAAACCCAATGGTGGCAATATTCTTGTGACAGAAGAAAATAAAGAGGAATATATAAGGTAGGAGAGAATATTCCTCTTTGCATAGTTTGGATTTTTCTGTTATAAAATTCCCTAGTATGGGGACTAGGAGGGTGGCTCAGTGGTAGAATGCTTGCCTTGCATGCACAAGGCCCTGGGTTCAATTCCTCAGCACCACATAAGCAGAAAAATCCAGAAGTGGCACTGTGGCTTAAGTTGTAGAGTACTAGCCTTGAGCTGAAAAGCTGAGGGACAGCGCCCAGGTCCAGAGTTCAGACCCCGTGACCAACTAGCCCTACCTCCCCCCCAAAAAAATCTCCTAATAATACTAATGAACAGCATTTTTAAAAAAATTTGTGGACTAGAGTTATGGCTCAAATTATAGCACTAAATGTGAGCAGAAAAGCTGAAAGAGACTTACAGGCTGTGTTCAAGCCTGAGTACAAAATAAATAGTAATAATATTTGCTTTTGTACTAGTCAGAGTTGCATATAGGCAATTTTTTTCTTTCTAGTTATAGCCCTAAAGTATGAGTTTTAAAGTACAGAAGTCATTTTGTATCATGTCTCATAATTACCAATTCTGTAACCTCTGTATTACTGAAAATGCTGAACTTAGAGCCTCACAAGCATGTTGAGCAGTCTACCACTTGAGCTACACCTTCTGTTTAAATCTAAACATTTATGTTTAAATATAAAGCGTTAACTGTAGGCATTTAAAGCAATTAAACACTACCTTTGTCATATCTCACAATTTTTGATGTTTTCCATTATCATTTAGTTTTTTCTAGTGTTCTTCAGTTTCCTCTTTGATCCTTAAATATTTGAAGTATATTGCTTCATTTTCAAATATCTGAGGTTTTTTTCCCGTGCGTGCGTGCGTGCGTGCGTGTGTGTGTCCATCCATCTGTCCTGGGGCTTGAGCCCAGGGACTGAACCTTGTCCCTGAGTTTTTGTTTTTTGTTTTGTTTTGGTTTTTTTTGGGTCCGGTCGTGGGGCCTGAACTCTGGGCCTGGGCGCTGTCCCTCAGCTCTTCAGCTCAAGGCTAGCACTCTACTACTTGAGCCACAGCACCACTTCCGGCTTTTTTTTTTTTTCTTTTTGCTTATGTGGTGCTGAGGAATCAAACCCAGGGCCTCATGCATGCAAGGCAAGCGCTCTACCACTGAGCCACCTTCCCAGCCCCCTGAGTTTTTTGGTTCAAAGCTAGTGTTCTACTACTTGAGCCATAGTTCCACTTCCAGCTTTTATGGTTGTTAATTGGGACTTTACTACCCAGGCTGGCTTTGAACTGAGATCTTTAGATCTCATCCTTGTAAGTAGCTAGGATTATAGGCATGAGCCACCAGCGCCTGTCTGGTATTCATTTTATTAAATGATTTGTTAGTTGAACTCCTACCCTAAAATAACCGTCTAACATAATGAGAGAAAACATGCACTGTTTGTATCTGAGCCTGGCTTACTTCCCTTAACATAATTTTTCTAGGTCCACCCATTTTCCCCAAAAATTATATAATATACTTTCTAATTAATGAGTAAAATTCCATTGTGTGTATGTATGTATATATATCATATATTTATGATGTATATATGTCTGATACATATATCATTTTCTTGATCCATTCATTTGTTGTTGGATGTTTGGGCTATTTTCATAATTTGGCTATCGTGACTAGAGCAGCAGTTAACATGGCTGTGCAAGTGTCTTTACTGTACCCTGTCTTGTAATGGGCAGATGCTCAAGAGCAGTACTGCTAGATCATAGTTGAAACTTTTTGGTGTGTGCTGGTGATGGAGCTTGAACCCAGGACCCAGGTGCTGACCCTGAGCCTTTTAGCTCAAGGCTGATGCTCTACCACTTGAGGCATGGCTTCACCTCTGACTTTTTGGTGGTTAATTGGAGATTTGACTCTCATGTACTTGACTACCTACTTCAAACCTGGATCCTTAGATCTCAGCCTCCTGGGTAGAAAGGATTATAGACATGAGTCACCAGTGCTTGGCAAGTACTCCACTTTATACCGACACCCCAGCTCTTTCCTCCATATATTTGATTCCTTTTTTAAAAAGCTACTTTTAAGTCTTTGTTTGCTAACTTCAGTATTATAACTAAGCCTTACTCTATAAACTTTGTTCTCAAGACTTTGAGTCATTTTCCTGGGATATATGTGTTGTGCTTCTATTGTTCCGACAGACCGTTAAATAATAGATCACTTTGATCCTTTACAAGTTTAGTGGGACTGCTCTATTTCCATTTTGCCTTTAGTTCTAAAATATCTCTTATTCTTATAATTTTATGAGATGTAAATGTTTAAGTTCTGTCTTTCCAGTATAAGGTAGCTGCAGAAATTTCTGCTTATGTCTTGTTGCTTTCCACAGGATTTCTTTGATTCACATTGTGTATGTATGTGTGCCCACACACATATTAATAAGTTATTCCTTATAGTTTTCTCCCTTTCTAATTATTTTTTTAATTTTCTTTTGAAGTAGAAGCTGGACCCCAGTAGCTCATGCCTGCAATCTAGCTACTTAGGAGGCTGAGATATGAGGATCCAGGTTCAAAACCAGTCTGGGCAGGAAAGTTTATTAGACTTTTTTGGTTTTGGTTGGTTATGAGGCTTGGACTCAGGGCCTGGGTGCTTTCCTTGAGCTTTTCTGCTCAAATCTAGTGCTCTACAACTTTGAGCCACAACTGTACTTCCAGTTTTTGGTGGTTAATTGGAGATGAGTCTTATGAACTTTCCTACCCAGATTGGTTTTGAACTCAAATCCTCAGATCTCAGCCTCATGAATTGCTAGGATTATAGGCATAAGTTACCAGTGCTTGTCTCCATGAGATTCCAGAAACCTGGAAGTGGAGCTATGGCTCAAAGTGGTAGACTATTAGCCTTGAGCAGAAAAAGCTCAGGAGCAGCACCCAGGCCGTGAGTTCAAGCACCAAGACCTGGCGCATGTGCGCACACACCACACACACACACACACACTCTCTGTACAAAGCTATTCACTGATGGCTCACAAAGGAGGCTCAAAGCACACACACACACACACACACACACTCTGTACAAAGCCATTCACTGATGGCTCACACAAGAGGCTCAAAGCACGCACATACACACACTCTGTACAAAACTATTCACTGATGGCTCACACAGGAGGCTCAAAGCCAGCCCAAGGCAGATAAACCCATAAGACTCTTAATCCAGTGAGCCAGAAAAAAGCCAGATAGAGAAGGTATGGCTTCAGTGATAGAACACCAGCTATGAATTAAGCAGCTGAGCCTTGAGGCTATGAGTTCAAACCCCAGTGCTCCCATTAAAAAAAAATCAGGGGCTGGGAAGGTAGCTCAATGGTAGAGCGCTTGCCTTGCATGCATGAGGCCCTGGGTTCGATTCCTCAGCACCACATAAGCAGAAAAAGCCAGAAGTAGAGCTATGACTGTAGTGGTAGAGTGCCAGCCTTGAGCTAAAGAGCCAAGGGACAGTGCCCAGGCTGGAGTTCAGGCCCCACAACCGACAAAATAAAAAAAATCAGCCAGGCACTGATGGCTCACACCTGTATTTCTAGCTACTCAGGAGGCTGAGATCTTGAGGATCGTGGTTCAAAGCCAGCCCAGGAAGGAGAGCCCATGAGACTCTTATCTCCAATTAACCACCAGAAAACCGAAAGAGCTCAGGGATAGCACCCAGGCCCAGAGATCAAACTCCATCCCCCCAAAAAAATTATTTCCAGAAATGAATGGTAAATTCTAAAGTTGCTGATAGCTTTTTTCATATTTTTCATATTTTTCTGCCAGAATGGTGGCTGAATGGAGGTTGTCTCGAGGAGTTGAAGAACAGACACAAGCTTTCTTTGAGGGCTTTAATGAAATTCTTCCCCAGCAGTATTTGCAGTACTTCGATGCAAAGGAATTAGAGGTAATTAATGTCTTTGTGTATATGTATGTGTGTACATGTACATGCATCTATAATTCTGTAACATGACAGCAAATAATACCTTAGATTCTACTTTCAATTTATTTTATCCATCCTCTGAATGGCAGTAGTTTTTATGTTGTCAAGATGTTTGGAAGTATCCTCAATGGGTAAAACAATGATCTATGCCACACTCAATATTTAAAGAAAAAAAATATTTCTATTAAGGCTACGCTGCAATTGTAAGGCTGAATTCCCTGAATACTTGTATATATGACACCATGCATGAAAATTTCTTTTCTAAATAATGTCCATATTATTCTTGATGTACAGTTTATAAGCCAAACCATGCTAAATAGTATTTTTCCAAAGTTATATTTAATATCAGACTTTTCTTAAATATATCAGGCATTTTTTTTGTACATTACCTAAAGAAATGATTTGTCTTTTTTATGTTTAAAGGTACTTTTATGTGGAATGCAAGAGATTGATTTGAATGACTGGCAAAGACATGCTATCTACCGTCATTACACTAGGACAAGCAAACAAATCATGTGGTTTTGGCAGGTTTGTTTCTAAATTTATTTAGTTACTTTAATTTTTTGGCAGATAGGGTTTGAAAGGCCTTTATACTTATTAAACAAATATTTTACCACTTGAGCCACTCCCCCAGTCATTTTTTGCTTTAGTTATTTCTCAGACAGGGTGTCACTGTTTGCCCGTGGTGTGCCTGGAACCATGAGCCTGCTATATGCAGCCTTCTGTGCAGCTGAGTTCATAGGCACATCCCACCATACCCCAATTATTGATGGGGATGGCGTCTTGCCAACTTTTTGGAGGTGTAGGGGTATGAGTACACATGCACACACTTGTCTATACTAGGGCTTGAACTCAGGCTTTCAATTATCTTTTTTGCTCATGGCAAGCACTCTACCACTTGATCCATATCTCTGCTTCCAGCCTTTTGCTTGCTGGTTGGAGATAGGAATCTCAGATACATTGCCAGGCCTGCCTTCAAAAATTAAGATTCTGGGTTGAGAAGGTTGCTCAGTGGTAGAATGCTTGCCTTACATGCATGAGGCCCTGGGTTTGATTACTCAGCACCACATAAGCAGAAAAAGCCAGAAGTGGTGGGCTCAAGTGGTAGAGCATTAGCCTTGAGCTGAAGAGCTGAGGGACAGTGCTCAGGCCCAGAGCTCAGGCCCCAGGACTGACAATTAAATAAGTAAGTAAATAAACAAATAAATAAAGATTCTCAGATCTTATACTATGGTTTTCATGATCATTTATACATTAAGAATTACCAAATGTTCAGTCAGGCACTAGTGCTACCTACTCAACTGATACCTGAGGTTCTAAGCCCCATGACTGACAAAAAAAAAAAAAAAAAAAAGGAAAGAGAGAGAGAGAATGAGAAGCTCAAAAGTAAACTGAGCTTCTGTAGTTATATTTAGCATTTTATGCCAGGGCGCCGTGTCTTACACCTGTAATCCTAGCTGCTCAGGAGACTGAGATCTGAGGATTGCAATTTGAAACCAACTAAGGCAGAAAAGTCCATGAGACTCTTTTATCTCCAAATAACTACCATAAAGCCAGAAGGGGAGCTGTGGCTAAAGTGGTAGAGTGCTAGCCTTGAATGAAAAAGGTAAAGGACAATGTTCAGGCCCTGTGTTCAAGCCCCAATACTGGCATTAGAAAGAAAGAAGAAGAAAAAGAAAAGAAAAGGGCATTTTAAAATACTTGGCTGAGTCAAAATATTGTGCTGTAGGATAGAAATTGTCCAGAAATCTAATGTTTAGGAATCGGAATTGTAGGAAATTAAGTCTAGCAATTTTTGGCCACATGTAGATATACCAGAAATCCAAAGAACTTTGAAAAAGGAAGTTATTGGCTTATATATGGAACAGAATTCTGTGAGCTTGATTTCATTTTTTTCATAAAAGCAAAACAGCCTATAAAGATCCAATCTCCATGTTCTATGTAACTACATAAATGTCCTGTGGGATAAACAAAGAAGAAGGCCACTCCAGAGTAGCTAATTTTCAAACTGCATGAGTTAGGTGCTTCTTAGGCCTATGTCATTCTTTGAGGAGGTTATTCTAAGTTTTACATAGGGAAAGGTTTGACCCTAGACATTCATTTGAATGAAATGATCACTTTTCTTTCTTGTTCAGTGAGCTAAATTTAATATATGATCTATATATCTTTTTAAACGTGATTTTTAACAGTTTGTTAAAGAAATTGATAATGAGAAGAGAATGAGACTTCTGCAATTTGTTACTGGAACTTGCCGATTGCCAGTAGGAGGATTTGCTGACCTCATGGGTATGTTTAGTGTCACTTTTCTTATTCAGAAAGTTTTCCTTGTACTGCTGTTAGATAAATATGTATAAAACTTATGAAAGACTGACTCTAGGACTGGTTCAGGTGAAGCAGTCAAAAAGAGAAAACTTAAGTAGGTGCTTTCAGATACAGGGTTCAGATCAGCCCCTAACAAAGACTTCAAAAACCAGATTAAATGATTTTGGATATTTTCCTTTTGGTATTTGGAAGCTATGCAAACTTTGAAGAAAAGAAACTTGCTGATGCTATATTTTAGGGAGATTTGACAGCAAGACATGTAGCACAGATTTAAACATGGGGAGAACCTGGAGACAGGATAAACCTATTGCAGTAATGACTTGGTGATGCTGGTGTTCCTGGGTTTGGGAGCATGATTTGAGAACTTTTGAACTAACAAAATGATTTGTATTATGTTTTAGGGAGCAATGGGCCACAGAAATTCTGCATTGAAAAAGTTGGGAAAGAAAATTGGCTACCCAGAAGTCATACCTGGTAAGCAAAATAAGAAAGAATAGAGAAAATAGCCTTTTCCATTTATTCTCTAGCTACTTAAAGTACATTAGAAATTCAGTACTTTTTGCTATTGTGTTTTGTTTTTTGTTTTTTTCTTTTTGCCAGTCTAAGCACTGTCACTGAGCTTCTTTTGCCCAAGGCTAGCACTCTTGAGCCACAGTGCCACTTCTGGCTTTCTCTATTTATGTGGTACTAAGGAATCTAACCAAGAGCTTCCTGCATGCTAGGCAAGCATACTACCACTAACCCACATTCCTAGCCCATCAAAAATACTTGTGTGTAGTTAACCTTATTTCCAAAAATGTGTCAAACTAAAAACCACTTTACTTCTGGGCACCAGTGGTTCATGCCTGTAATCCTAGCTACTCAGAAGGTTGAGATCTGAGGACTACAGTTCAAAACCAGCTGGGGCAGGAAACTGGAGAGTCTTATCTCCAATTAACCACCAGAAAACCGGAAGTGGCCCTGTGGCTCAAGTGGTAGAACCCTAGCTGGGAGCTGAAGAGCTCAGGGACAGCATCCAGGCCCAGAGTTCAAGCCCCACCACTGACAAAATAAAACAACACACAACACTTCAACTTTGTTTTGTAGGACTATATATTCAGTGGTCACTTTTTTTTCATACTTCTTTAAAGGTTTTATTGCATATTATGTTTTAATACACATACATATAAGTGTAATTTTTCATATATTTTTCTTCTTTTTTCATTGAACACAGCCTGAAACTTGCTAGCCATGAATTCTACCACTTGACTCATTTCTCCAGCTCAGTGCAATTTTCTTTTTTTTTTTTTTTTTTGGGTCCGGTCGTGGGGCCTGAACTCTGGGCCTGGGCACTGTCCCTCAGCTCTTCAGCTCAAGGCTAGCGCTTTACCACTTGAGCCACAGCACCACTTCTGGCTTTTTTCTTTTTGCTTATGTGGTACTGAGGAATCAAACCCAGGGCCTCAGGCATGCAAGGCAAGCGCTCTTCCACTGAGCCAACTTCCCAGCCCTCAGTGCAATTTTCTTAAATAACAAATTTTTTTTTTTGGTCCGGTTGTGGGGCCTGAACTCTGGGCCTGGGCACCACTTCCGGCTTTTTTGTTTTTGCTCATGTTGTGCTGAGGAATCAAACCCAGGGCCTCAGGCATGCAAGGCAAGCGCTCTACCACTGAGCCACCTTCCCAGCCCCTAAATAACAATTTTATTGATATATAATACATATACTATAAAGTTTACTCCTAAAGTATACTCCTCAGTAGTTAACAATGTATTCATAAGGTTATACAACCACTATCCCTGTCCAGTTGCAGAACTTTTCTTACTCCAAAAAGAAACCTTGCTTGTATCCGTTAGCAGTCATTGCCTACTTATCCTTCCTGTAGCCATTGGTAAGCACTAATCAACATCTTCTAAATCTCCTGCTTGAAAAATTCATATAAATGCAGTCATACAATCTTGTTTCTGGCTTATTTCACCTTCACCTAGTAAAATTTTTTCAAGATTTTTCCACCTTGTGGCATTTATTAGTATTTCATTTTTAAAAATTATTATGATAAAATATACCTCACAGATGTACCACTTTAAATCTTTTTTCTTTTTCTTTTTCTTTTTCTTCCCTCTGTCAGTTGTGGGGTTTGAACTCTGGGCCTGGGAGTTGTCTTGAACTCTTCAGCTCAAGGGAGTGCTGTACTACATGAGCCACAGTGCTGCTTCTGGTTTTCTGGTGGTTAATTGGAGATAAGAGTCTCACAGCCTTTCCCACCTAGGCTGGCTTTGAACTGTGATCCTTAGATCTCATCCTCCTGATTAACTAGGATTACAGGCATAAGCCACCAGCGCTTGGCTCACTTTAATCATTTTTAAATGTGTACATTTCAGTGTTAAGTACATTCACATATTGTGCAGTTAGTGTCATCATCCATCTCTGAAATGGTTTTAATTTTGTAAAATTGAACTACATCTTTGATTTTGATTTGTATTTCCCCAATGACTGATTAGTGACATTGAGCATGTTTTCATATGCTTGTTGGTTATTTATCTGTTCTCTGATAAATGTCTATAAATGTCATTTGCCTAGTTGTTTTTGTTTGTTTGTTTTTGCTAGTCCTGGCACTTGAACTCAGGCCTGGGCACTGTCCTTGAGCAAAAGGCTAGCATTCTATCACTTAAGCCACAGCACCAATTCCAGCCTTTTCTGTTTATATGATACTGAGTACTGAGGAATCAAACCCAGAGCTTCATGCATGCTAGGAATGTACTATACCACTAAGCCACATTTGCCATTTGCCCAGTTTTTAATCAGATTATTTGTTGTTTTTGCTGTTGAGCTGTTTAAGTTCTTTATATATTCTGGAAAGGAATCCCTTATCTGATCAATACTTTGTAAATATTTTTCTCATTGTATAGGTTTTGTCTTCATTCTGCTGATTGTTTGCTGTACAGAATCTTTCTAGCTTGATAGAATCTCTTTTGTCAGTTTTTGCTTTGTTTAATGTCCTTTTGGGTCATATCCAAAAAGTCACCACTTATGGGGCTGGCAAGGTGGCTCAGTGGTAGAGTGCTTGCCTTGCATGCATGAGGCCCTGGGTTCAATTCCTCAGCACCACATAAGCAGAAAAAGTCAGAAGTGGCACTGTAGCTCAAGTGGTAGAGCGCTAGCCTTGAGCTGAAGAGCTGAGGGACAGTGCCCAGGCCCAGAGTTCAGGCCCCATGACTGGCAAAAAATAAAAAATAAATTTAAAAAACCCAAATGGTCACCACTTGGACCAATGCCCTGAAGTTTTCCCTATACCATTTTTTTTTTAGTAATTTTGCATTTTCAGGTCTCATATTTAAGCCTTCGATCTATTTCAGTTAATTTTTGTATATGGTAATAGGAAATAGTGTAGATTTGTTTTTGTTTTTTTTTTATATATGGATATCTTTTTCCTAACACCTGGTGAAGAGACTTTCCTCAATCATTATGTTTATGGTACCTTTGTCAAGTCATTTGCCAAGATGGGCACTGGTGGCTCAGGCCTGTATCCATACCTACTCAGGAGGCTAAGATTTGAGAATTTCAGTTCAAAGCAAGCCAGTACAGAAAAGTCCTATGAGACTCTTAATTCCATGTAACCAGAAGTAGACCTGTGGCTCAAATGGTAGAGTACTAGCCTTGAATGAAAAAAGTAAGGGACAGCATCTAATACCTGAATTCAAACTCCAGTTCTGGCACACACAAAATAATTACTTGACTGTCAATACATGGGTTTGTGTCTGAGTTGTCTATTTTTTTTCCTTTGAGCTATATGTCAGTACCATGCTGATTTGGTTACTGTCGCTTAGTGGGAGTGTTTTGTATTATTTTGTTTGTAGTATTTGGAATGAGCCCAGGGTATGTGGGGGTGAACCCAAAGTCTCATACATGTTAGCTCAAAGTTACACCCATAGCCTTCATAGTAATATGTTTTGAAGCTAGTTATTGTAATATTTCTAGCCTTGATCTTTTTCCCCTAAAGTTTTCCTTGATTATATTATGAAGTTTTCCTGCATTATATTTCATTATGTGGATATATCACATTTTGTTTATATTCATCTTTCAGTGGACATTTGGATTATTTACATTTTTGGCTATCAGTATAGCCAAATATATACAGTATAGCCAATATATATACAATATAGACAAATATATACAATATAGCCAATATATACAGTGATGCTGTAAACATAGGTGTATAAATACCTACTGGTTTTTATCCCTACTTTCAATTTTGGGTGTTATAGACCCAAAAGAATGACTGCTGGATTATTTTCTAGGAGTCTAATGGCATTTTTTCACAGATGTCAAGTTTCTCATCATTTGGTTTTTTTGTTTTTTTGTTTTTTTTGCTGGTCATGGGGCCTGAACTCTGGGCCTGGGCGCTGCCCCTCAGCTCTTCAGCTCAAAGCTAGTGCTCTACCACTGGAGCCACAGCGCCACTTCCGGCTTTTTCTGCTTATGTGGTGCTGAGGAATCTAACCCAGGGCCTCATGCATGAGAGGCAAGCACTCTACCACTGAGCCACCTTCCCAGCCCTCATCATTTGTTGAACAGGCTGGTCTTTCTCCCATTAGATAGTCTTGGCACCCTTGTTGAAAAGCAGTTGACCAGCCAAGTGCTTTGGCTCACACCCATAATCCTAGAATTTAGGAGACTAAGGCAGAAGGATCACACGTTTGAGGTAAGCTCCAGGGTACATAGCAACACCCTGTTTGTCATACATAGGTATATACACACATCTACACATACATATATAACTATTTTATTTTTGACTACTATAAACAGAATTGTTTTCCTAATTTCATTTCAGATTTTGCATTGCTGGAGTATAGAACTTATCCTATGCACATCTTAATTTGACTTCCTTGTTTCTTTTATAAACTTTGAACAGACTTTTCTGTACTATAATAATAGTGTTGAGTAAGGCTTATCTCAGTCACATATAAAAAAGAGCATAAGGGCTGGGAAAGTGGCTCAGTGGTAGAGTGCTTGCCTTGCATGCCTGAGGCTCTGGGTTCGATTCCTCAGCACCACATAAGCAAAAAGAAAAAAGCCGGAAGTAGTGCTGTGGCTCAAGTGGTAGAGCGCTAGCCTTGAGCTGAAGAGCTGAGGGACAGCGCCCAGGCCCAGAGTTCAGGCCCCACAACCGGACCAAAAAAAAAAAAAGAGCATAATAGCTTTGTCAGATTCTGTGTTCTCTTTTTTAGGAAGTGATAGAAACTATACATTTATTTTCCCATCATGTATAACATCCTTTGGTTAAGCATTTGCCTAACTTTATCCTAAAAGTATAACAGAGAACCAAGACTTTGGGGGCAGACTATTATCTATTTGTTGCTTATGAAGGTGATATAACTCTTGGTTTAGATAAAGTAGATGGGGAAGAATGGGCGTATTAACATTTTTTTGAGGCATATTGAGCAGTAGGTGCTGATTCTTCATTCCCTGAGAGATCCCAAAGAAGAAAGTGAATCTTGGAAAGGAAAAAAACCACTTGCTCAAAAGTCCATTAACATAGCCAGTGTTGCTATTTGTTTCTTTGTATATTTCCCTTTCTCAAGCTAATAATTCTTCCTTTCAGTTTTAATCGCCTGGACCTTCCACCCTATAAGAGCTATGAGCAACTGAAGGAGAAGCTGTTGTTTGCCATTGAAGAAACAGAAGGATTTGGACAAGAGTAACTTCTGAGATCTTGTACTGCCCAAGGACAAGAACTTATTTTGCAGTGTTTGTCCTTTTCCTTCTCTGCCTATTGCACATCTAGTTGTAAAATTGGACTATGACTGTTGAGAGAGTTAATCTGAGTGTAAGTAAGTTAATGTTGTCATTGAAATTGATCTCTTGGTGATTCTGGATTTCTGTTCAGCATTTCCAGAAATCAGATCTATGAACACTTGTCAGAAACTTACTTAACATGAGATTTAACACACAATGAAATCTGCCTTGTCTTATTCCACTAGATTGTTTCCTTAACAATTTTCTATGTGTGTCAAAGTCTCACTTGGGAGGTTTATTTCCTTTTAGAGATTCTGCAAATATGGAGGCAAATCTCTTGGCAACTGCAATATACAAGATCTTCCTATTAAGCCTCTTGCTAAGGGGTATTTAATAAAAGTGCAAGCTTAGCCCAGCTTCTGGGCATGTGAGAAAATTGCTAGCTTGTGCTCTCCCTCTTATTTCAGCCTGGCCTGACTGTTGTTTTTCATTTCTGGAGCATGAATCCAACCATCACTTTGAAGTTATTCCTAGAAGTGATGCAGGACTCTTGCATCTTTCTACCAAGTAGTTTTGTGAATATGAATTCAGGGAAAAATTGGTCCCAGTGGCAAATGACTTCATACCTCTTCATTTGGATGTTTATTTTGATTGCCTTGCAAATACTATACTATACAAACAATATCAACACTGTAGTTCCTTTACTGTTGGTTTTAAAAGTTACCCTAGAATTGAAATTAATGTAGCTAAATTTATCTAAGGCCATTTTTAATTATTTTTGTATGACCCTATACATAAATTGAAGCTTTATCATTTTATCATAATCCAAAAACTTCAGTTGTATTTAATTACTGCTAAGGAGTCAAAATTATAACTAGAGTATTTTCTAGTCTAAATAGAGGTCAGTGAAACAGCTGATAAAATTACCTTTTCATTTGTGAGAGCTATTCTTCATATGAATTAAAAGTCTCCAAGTTTATCATTTCTCCCACAGGTTGGAGTAGCCATTTCCTTTTTTCCTTTTTAAGATCGTCATGAATTGAGTTAGTATCCCTCACCTGTAATATTTTTGGGTTTTTTTTGTTTGTTTTGGTTTTGGTTCTGGTCCTGGGGATTGAACTCGGGGCCTGGGCACTGTCCTTGAGCTTTTGTGCTCAAGGTTAGCACAGATCCACTTCCAGCTTTTTGTTGGTTAATTGGTGATGAGTCTCTCTGGTTTTGTCTGCTGGAGCAAGCTTTGAACCATGATCCTCAGATCTCAACCTCCTGAGTAGTTAGGATTATTATAGTGCCCAGCTACAATATTCTAAATTTTTGGCAAGTTTTTTCCCCCATGACTGCTCCATTACTTTAGAATGTTCTGTTAATTAATGCACTTTGATTATCTCTCTAGTTAATTTAACTTGGCCTAAGTTAGCTTAGACTGTCAGGGTGGCTGCTGTCATAGATCAGGCTTTATAGGTAATGAGAGGAAACTTAAGCCAAACTGAGTCCTTAGCACAGCTGAATCCCGAAGACAGTCTGATAACTCACATTACAGGAACTTTGGAATGTTTCAGTAGCATAGCATTAACAAGTAGCATGAAGCCAAGAATACTCCATATGAAAACAAAATGTTTTTATGTCCCTAGCTGCTCATCCTATTTAAATCCTGGAACAACAAAACTTTTTTTAACTTGTGTATCTGTGCTCTTTTGACACTGCCATCTTAAGCAGAGACTTACGTGAAAGAGTTTTCTCATCCAGAAATTTTCAGTGTAAAGGGAGAGATTACACTGTCTCCATCCTATCTGGTTTTTATCCCATATGCCCTAGGAAATACTGTGTGATTTCTAAAAGCCCTTAGTTGTTTCCAAAGTAGAGACTCTGCCTTTTTGTTGGTAGGGTAAAAAAATTAAAAAACAAATGTTACTGCTTTGTCTTACAGAGCGAATGTCTGCCAATCCCCCATTCATAAGTCTGAACTTTGGTAATATATGTCTGTGAAGATTAAGCCTTCCATAAAGACTTCCGATTGAGGTGAATTCTCATACCAAATATAGTTACCATATTTACCAGAGGTTTATGAGATTAAATTAAGAGATGATGTAAGAAAATAGCCTCTTTTGATTCTCTATAATGCTTCATGATTCATTTAGGGACCTAGACATATTGTATGAAAATGTATAAATATCACTCAAAAGGCTTTCTGCCCTATATTTTTAAAATACAGAATAGTTATATTTGATGTAGCCCTAGCCCTAGTTCTATAGGGCTTGGCTACTTAATATTTTTATGGAGGAAACATTTAGTTCTGGGAAAGGTAAATGCTTGTATATATTTTTGCAGCCTGGAGTTTCCCTGCTCCATTTCTTCCTTTAATTTAAGTGGCCACATGTATATGTCTTCCCTGCTGTGTTAGGAAAATGGGGGCTGGATATCCCAAGAATCAGAGGTTATATAAAAGTACTGCAAATAGACAGCAAACCTAAATATCTGCCAAATGCTACTTTAAATTTTGGTCCAAAATGAACACTTGGAAATAGATTTATTGTAAGTATTTAATTAGAATTTTTCTCTTAAATCTGAAATATATTGCTTTTTAGGTCATTTTTCTTTGTAAGCATTGTAAATGCTAATAAATCTTGTTAATTTTTTTAACTGCATGTTATGTTGAAATAAAAACAAAGTAAAATGAGCAATTGCCTTATTCTTCTGCTCTTATGGTGGGTTGGGCAAGGCAGCATTCCACAGCCTGGGTGAAGAGAGAAGGAACTCAATTGTTTCATCTCAAATGGAATGGCTTAAATCTGATTCAAAAACTCCTAACAACGAAATCCTACTGTGTCTTTAGTGATATTCTGTCAGAGTGCAGAAGAATCCAATTTTGTAAGACTTACAATAACTCTATTTAAAACTCATGCACTGATTTTTCATCAAGGGATTGACATGCCAGTATCAGTTCATCAGAAATTTTAGTGAAACATGGCTCAGTTACCCATAAAAGACTCATCCTAAATAAACTATTTCAATCAAGGCTCTCTGCCACTTTTTTATCTGGTTAATAATCTGGAATGTTATCAAAGGTGACTCACAAAATTAGACTTTATCACGCCTTGTTTTGGATGTACCCCCACCCCTCCAAATTCCTTTAGAGTTTCTGCTTGTACTTCATATTGTTGGTATCTCCAGCCCCCTGTTTTTTTTAACAAGTTATTTATAAAATTGTATATATGCTTTCATTAACTAAAAACAGAATGGCAGCACTGAATTGTATATTACTGTATTGGAGTACCTTTGTTTTCTTGGACTGTAATTTCAAATACTCAGGTAACTCTACAAATATTACAGGGAGTAAATTGCTTTTTATAAAGTTTCTTCGGGGTTACCTCACTTTCATTTCCCTAAAAGATGTAAGACTGTGTTTATAATTAAACTTTTTTGCTCCTTCATTTGCACACTCTTCTGTTAGTCTTGGGTAAAAAAGGTGGTCCTCCACTTGCAGAAAAGCATTCTATATGACTGCTTTTACAGTGGTAAGTTATAACTTGTCTGTATTGTGGTATAGGTGGAAAACAAAAAATCTGCTACTCAGGTGACATTAGATTTGGTTCCTGTGTTGAAGATGAAAACCTCTGCAGGAGCCACTGGTTGACAGGAGGGCCTCTATCTCACTTGCTAGTCTGAGAAAACAAAACTGGTCTAAGCCAAGACTGTAGCCATGAGGGTTGAATAGAGCTAAGCTATCAAGACTAACTACACAAGTGGGCCTGTTTGACACCTTCCTTCCTTTTATTTTTGGTGCCAGTTCTGGGGATTGAACTCGAGTGCCTAGGTGCCGTCCCAGAGCTTTTGTGCTCAAGGCCAGCGCTCTACCACTTGAGCCATAGCTCTACTTCCAGCTAGGATTACAGGCGTAAGCCACCAGCGTCTAGTTGGCCATTCTTCCTTTTTTCTTTTCATTTTTTTTTTTTTCTCTTTTCCTGTCATGGGGCTTGAAATTCTGGGCTTGGGCACTGTTCCTGGGCTCTTCTGCCCAAGGCGAGCACTCTCCTACTTGGGCCAAAGTGCCACTTCTGGTTTTCTGATGGTTAATTGGAGATAAAGTTCTCACTTTCCTGCCTAGGCTGGCTTTGAACCACAATCCTCAGATCTCAGCCTCCTCAGTATAGCTAGGATTACAGGCGTGAGCCACTGGCTCCTGGCTTTTTCATTTTATTTTTTCCCTTCTGGGATTCTGATCTTTTTCAATCCTCTCCTCTCAATCTAGTTATCCATATATGAGATGGAGGAAATACTCATTCCATACCTATTTTCCAGGATGCTTGGGGTCCAGTCACTGCTGCACTTCTCCACCTACTTGAAGATTTGGGGATGCATTCCTACTGCTTCCAGCATTTGATAATCATTGCTTTTTTATTTTATTAGTCCTTTTTAAAAAATGTATGTAGTAATTTTAGGTTTACAGAGCTGTTGCAAAGATAGTATTGCTTGTGTACACTCTTATCCAGCTTTCCTCAACACCAACATCCCACATCACTAATACAGTTACCAGAACAAATTAACACTACTAGTAAAACTACCCTTATTCAGATTTCCCGAGTTTTTCCACCAATGTCTTTCCCCTTAGTCTCCTCTAACTTGTGACAATTCCTCATTCATTCTTTGTGTTTTATAAAGAATATTTGGCTGATACCTTGTGGAATTTCCCTTACTTAAGGTTGAATATGTCCCACTACCAGTAATAATAACTTGATCTGCTTGATTTCTTCACCATAAGTGATTATCTAATCACCTTAACACAGGCTCCCCTGGAAAGAGGCTATTTGGAATGAAAATCTGGAGGTTGATCATCAGGTTTGAATTCAGTAAGCTCCAGAGCCAGGAAGAAATGGCGTTTGTGAAATGGAGATGTTGCTATTCAACTACAAGATAGGCTAAATTAGGGACATTAAAGTGTGGAAGACAATAGCTAAGAAAATTATCAGTAGGTAACTTGAAGTCTCTCATTTCCCATTAGGCTGGTGTACTAGTGATTTTCTTGGAGTTCTGGATAAGCAAGCAGTGGGCAGACATGTTGAAAAGAATCTACTTTGCTTATTTGTTTTCTTACAGGTATTTGTTTTGTTTTGATTTTTGGTCATGGGGCCTGAACTCTGGGTCTGGGTGCTGTCCCTCAGCTCTTCAGCTCAAGGCTAGCACTCTACCACTTGAGCCACAGCGCCACTTACGGCTTTTTTCCTTTTGCTTATGTGGTACTGAGGAATCGAACCCAGGGCCTCAGGCATGCAAGGCAAGTGCTCTACCACTGAGCCACCTTCCCAGCCCCTGCTCTCTTCCATTTAATACATTGGTGAAGGACTTCCTACTTTTTTTTTTTTTTTTGCTTATGTGGTGCTGAGGAATCGAACCCAGGGCCTCAGGCATGCAAGGCAAGCGCTCTACCACTGAGCCAACTTCCCAGCCCTTCCTACTTTCCTTTTAACTCATGACTTTTATTATAGCAAGACTTATAACATAGTCCCAAAGTTTCTTCCAGATTTTTTTTTAATATATTCAGGTTTGTTTTTTTTTTCCCAGTTGTGGGGCTTGAACTCTGGGCCTGGGCCCTGTCCCTCAGCTCTTCAGCTCAAGGCGAGTGCTCTACCACTTGAGCCACAGCACCACTTCCAGGTTTTTCTGCTTATGTGTTGCTGAGGAATCAAACCCAGGGCCTCATGCATGCAAGGCAACCACTCTACCACTGAGCCACCTTCCCGACATGTTGAAACGAAAAAGGTGACAATCTTACCCAGGACTGAAAGGAAACATTGTTAAAGGCAAATAACTGCCTCTTGATAATGGGCTTCTCTATTCTAAATAAATCATAAAGCACCTTGGTCTCTGGGAATCCTAAACTTACCAGTTCTGAGAACATAAAAGATGCAATTAGATGGGCTGGAAATGTGGCTTAGTGGTAGAGTGCTTGCCTAGCATGCATGAAGCCCTGGGTTCAATTCCTCAGCACCACATACACAGAAAAGGTGAGAAGGGATGCTG